CTCAGCAGGTAGGGTCCGCGCGGCGTCACCCCGGCAGAAAAAAAAAACGCTGAAAGGGAGTTTTCTGTAAAAATGTATGATAACTGAGGTGGAGTCCAGCTAGGCCGCAGCCCCGCGGTCAGTGCTCGTAGCTGCACGCTCAGGACGTGGTGTGCGGAGTGTTAGATGGGTGCCTGTGTACCTTCAGAGAACTCACAGCCACTTCTGATTCACCCTGATGTGAAAAAGCCAGTGATTACTTCTAGAAAGAGATGTTTCATTCCTCTTGTGGTTGTTCCCCCTCTTTTGGGGGTGTCTTTTAGCGTCACGTCTCTACTTCCAAGTATACTTCAGCAGCCAGTGAGGACTCTAACTTACTGTAGCTTGCGGAGGAAAGAGGAAGACCGTGAAAGCTGTCACAAAGAGGTTTCTGCGGCTGCACAACGGCCTTTGGGTTAGGAGAAAGGTAAGGCTTCGTGCCAACACAAGCACGTTCCCACTGCAGTTAGTGGGCTTTTTTCATAGAATCGTAGAATGGTTTGGGTGGGAAGGGACCTTAAAGACCATCCAGTTCCAACCCCCCTGCCATGGGCAGGGACACTTTCCACTAGACCAGGTTGCTCAAAGCCTCATCCAGCCTGGCCTTGAACACTTCCAGGGATGGGGCATCCACAGCTTCTCTGGGCAACATGTTCCAGTGCCACACCCCCCTCTCTGGGAAGAATTTCTTCCTGATATCTAATCTAAATCTCCCCACTTTCAATTTAAACCTGTTCCCCCTTGTCCTGTCACTACAGGCCCTTATAACAAGTCCCCCCCAGCTTCCTTGTAGCCCCTTCAGGTACTGGAAGGGGCTGTAAGGTCTCCCCAGAGCCTTCTCTTCTCCAGGCTGAACAGGCCCAACTCTCTCAGCCTGTCCCCATAGCAGAGGGGCTCCAGCCCTCTGAGCATCTCAGTGGCCTCCTCTGGACTCACTCCAACCAGTCTATATACTTCTCATGTTGGGGGCCCCAGAGCTGGAGTTTTCCTTCTGTTAGAGGGCAGTGGCTAGTATGGAAGTTCAAAAAACCCTCTGTAGAGAGACTCCTGTCTTCCTGAAAGTGGGGAATGTCTCCTGGTGGCTTATCAGTCTTGCTGTACATGTGTATTTGCAGCAACCCATGTGTCTTTTGTGTATTTGCTTCTGACAGGCTGGTTACAAGAAGAAGCTGTGGAAGAAGTCGGCCGCCCAGAAGAAGCGTTTGAGAGAGCTGGTGTTGTGCAATAGGACACAGTGTAAACTCCTTGATAAAATGACCACTTCTTTCTGGAAAAGAAGAAACTGGTACGTTGATGATCCCTACCAGAAGTATCACGATCGCACAAATCTTCGTGTGTAGGCGTCTGGGTTTCACCTTTGCACCTCTCTAGGAAAAAAGGCGGGGTATGGTCTTAATTTTGGAACGTAGGTCTGTAACACCTGTTAAGTTTCAGAGCAAGCATACGCCTGTCATCTGATCAGAATGCGGGTATCGGTGCCCAAAATAAAGGAATCTTCAAGACTGTCTCGAGCTGTGATTTCTCGTTTACTTAGCAGAGATTAAGCTGGTCACCTACGTGTTCTGATGTCTCTTGGTTTCCTGTGGTTGTGTCTAAACATCACTAAAAGTGAGTAATTCAACATACTTAGTCTTAAAAATTTTAAGAGAGACGTGTTTACACGAGCCCAGGATACACTGTGCTGTGACATACTGCTGGCTCCCTGAGCAGAGTCTCCGTGGGGCAGGGATGAAAGCGGAGCGGGGTCCGTTTCGGTGCTGTTGCCCGTCACAGTACGGATGAAGCGTTGCCGCAGCTCCGTGCCAGAGAGCGCGGGGAAACGCCACGTTTCACAGCTACATGCAGTTTCCATAACTGACTTCACAGTGTGTTAGCCACCGGATTTCGTTACAGGACTCGCGTTTTGGACCTTGTGTTGGTTTTTGAGCAGAACGTCTTTTTTTCGTGTCCTACGCTACTACATCCTCAAATAGCCAGTTCTGAGTGTTTTCTTCGTTTTATCCTCTCTTTAGGCCTAATTCTTCCTCACACTGCAAACCTCTGACTACTGCACGTCCGGTATGAAACCAGGGATTTATTACAGGGTACTTCGGGAGTGCGTGAGGCTGCTGGTCTGTGGGCTTGCCAGGGGCTAGATTGGAGTTTTTCCCTCCAAAGCCGATGCTCCAGCAAGCCTACGAAAAGCAGCTGCTTCTCGCAGTAGCTTCAGCGCATTCACTATTAATTAACCCGTTATTAAGCGGAGCGTCCCTGGCTGTCGGCTCCAGAGCCAGGGGTGGGGCAAGAGATGGTTCGGTGCATGGGGCTGCAATGAATTCACTAGTTACTCAGAGTGTTCAGTAGCTGTATTTGGGGTTTTTCCCAGTTCATAATACAGACAGAAGTTTTGAAGGACATGCAGCATTTGGTGAATACAGCTATATACAGTCAGCCAGAACTGAAATAAAACAGCAACCCCAGTGACTGTTCTGGCCTGTCAGATACAGGGACACAGACTAAAGATGTTTTCTCCTCCTTTTTTTCTGTTTCAATTTTTTTGAAAGAAAAGGTTAAGACTTCATTCAAGGGGTGTATCAAGCAGTGTAACAAAACCAGCGAAACATCAACCCTTGGAATAGCGCTGCAGCAGCCATCCTTGGGAGGCGTGAGGTGGTACCGTTGATCACCGATCTTTTCTGCCCGCCACAGGGAAGAAATCACGTGAAGTGCACAGTTAGGACCTTCCAAGGGTTTGTCTAAACGCCAACCCCAGGTGGTGGTGCCCGCTCTTTCGGACACGGTGCTAGACGCACCGGGGGTACCCGGAACAAACGGCAGAGAGGGGGGCTGTGAGGGACGAGCACTGGGGCGCAGCTGCCAGGGTTCGTCGCTGCACGAGAGCAGTCGGAGGCAGAGGGTTGCCGACGTCAGGCTGGGGAGCATCAGCTCTCTCCAAGCAGCTTTCTCCCTCTCAAGAAGAAGTAACCGGATTCTCCAGCCCTTCTGTTTGCACTTACACAGTTTAGATCAGCGTAGGATCAGTTCCAGGGTGGCAGGGATACACGTGAAGTGCCTAATCTCTGATGTGAACCTGATCCAGCAGTTGTCAGCTGCTGTAACTGCGCTGACACAGGCCCCTGCGGCCGGAACGGAGGCGTGGGGCTGCTCTGGCGAGCTCAAGCTTGTTCTCTTCAGAATTGAGGTGACTTCATGGCAAATCAGTGAGGTAATTCACAGGCCCATCTTCCACGGACCATCTTCAGCTGCAGTTTCCTTCCCCTCTGCCTCAGTTTTACTTGCTTACAATAAAGCATGTTCCTAGGGCTGGCCTGTTTCTCTCAGGGTGACGCTCCAGGCCGCTGCTGAGAAGTCGTGGACCGGGCTGTTCTTCCCCAAACCACACCGGTTGCTGTACTGAACCATCAGCTGAAAGGCTGCTTGCTTTGAGGCTTGCAGCCTCTCAGCCTGAGCCGGGAGGAAGCCGAGAACTGCTCCCCATCGCCACAAGCCTAAAGCCACCATCCATCCATCCATCCGCTGCGTCCTGCCTTTGCTCGGCTCCTGCCAGCTCCCATTTGCCAGGAGGGGTCAGCGTCAGCGCGGGAAGGCGACCGGCTGAGCGGCCTTGGCTGTTGTGAGTAGCCGAAGGGCGAAATGAGGGGCGGCAGCCGTAAACAGCCTGTGCGTGGCAGATGCAGGACCAAAAGCAAGAACACTCCCGTGGCGAGGCACGGCGCTGGGCACCTCTCGTCTAGCTGTACACACGTACACAGCTCGCTTGATTAACTACTACAGGTTTTGCCAGAGATATGAAAAGGTTTATTTTTTTCTCATTTATACAGTGAGTGTTTTGAGAGATATAAGGCAACTCCCTTGTCTACAATTTCACCTCAGCACTCAAGAAATGCTAAACAGTCTAAGTTTACAGTAAAACAGCAGATTAGACACACACTTAATACTTTTAGTGAGGATCCGTGTTAATACAGCGTGTCTGAGAACAGAACCTGTCAGATGTTACGTAGCTCCATGTTGGGTTTTTTGGCATCACTGAGTGCAAACTCGTCAACTGCTTTTGTATCGGCCGGCAGCCCGTGGCAGGGCAGGGAAAGGTAGCGTGCTTGCAACAGGGTTTTATTTTCTGCGAACACGGCTGGCAGTTTTCAGTGTTTCCCGAAAGAAATCAAATAAACGCTAAAGCTGCTTCAAAAGAAAACACATGAGCTTAGCTCCTCAAGGCTTTTGCTGCCTATCTTCCACAGACTGACTCTTCCATAACACTATCTAGACAGGTTGGTTGGGTTTTTCCCAGTTTCCTTTCAGAGGACTTTTTCCTTCTTACCCACGGCAAAATAGGATTGAGTTAGCACATGTAAAGGAAATAAAATTCTCAGGGAATGAGGCCAAATACTGTGGCAGACACGGGAAACACCTGCTTGCTTTTTCCACTTCCCAGCCAGGTGCATGCACATAATTTACTTCTCTCTTCCCCAGGTTTGTAGGAAGCTCTGGGGGAAACCTCAGGGGTCCAGCAGGCAGGGACAGCTGGGATACCGACGCATATCCAGCAGAGAAAAGGTTGCTTCAGAGTTATCTCTGAGTCTGACATGCTCCAGCTGTTGGCATCCTGGGCTGGGTTAACAGTCCTGCTCATCATCAAGCCCGGGTACTGGCCCCCCAGCGATGGCACATCCTACGTCATGCTAAACGTTTTCCTAGTCTATGTGACAAGTCAAGAGCAAACACAAAGGGCCACGTAATTAACTTATGTGTGAATCTCACATGCTCAACAATTACAAGAGACACCAGCTTGAAGCACAAATACACAAACCCTACCACGTGTTCCTCTTCTTGTATATTTCTCATTTATATATGGATACAAATACACCACTCCATCTGGTTCTCACCAAACTCCATGCTACAGGCAAAGCTCCAGGCTTCATAAAGCAGCTCAGACCCGGCACCCTACTCTGCTGGGACAAGTGAAACAGCAGCACCTCACCGGGAAAGCAGTGCGCTGGGGCTGGCTCTGTCGCGGGCGGGGGAGGAAGGCGCGTGCTCCCCTGGAAGCGTGACGCTCAAGCGGTTCCAACTCCTGTGGCTGCAGCTAGCACAGGCCTGGCTTGCTCACGCTTTAAAACCGGCAGTAGAACCTTCGCCGCAAGCAATGGGATCTAGCTCTTCTAGCCGCCATCGTTTTCCACACAATGCTCTCCTGGCTCAGGCTGATCAAAATTAAGACTCCCCCTTCATTACAACGTGAAAACCATTTATTTTCTCTTGTACGTCTCTTCCTCGTCCTCTGTAAGCGGCTCTGTCTCTGGGTTTTAGCACAATTATTTACTTGCAGGAGGAGAAACAGAGTTGCAGCTCAGCTTTCGCTAATGCATCTTGGATATTTGGTACAGTCAAAATACTTCGATATGTGTTACATCATTCACAGTCTTGAGGAGGAAGGGAGGAAAGAGAGATCCATGGCTTCTGCAAATCCACTTGGTTTGTGATAAAGCCATAAATAAATACACTGTGAACGTATCACCACGAGTAACTAGTTATTTCTGCTTCCGCTGCGCATTCACAGAGCTAGAGCTAGGCAGACACAAATGAGAGTCGTACAGGTACAGTTTTACAGGGTCCGTGGGAGTGGGCGTGGGCTCTGCAAGTGAAAGGAGGACTCTTCACCTGCAGGCGCCTGTCAGACTGTCCTGCCCACATCACGGACTAACGCGCGTAACAGAAGGATGCGGAGAGGGGAGAGAGAAAGGCCATGTCTACAATGCTGTACATCAAAGCACATCCGTCCTGCTGCTGTTTCCTACATTGTTAATGAGTAGCTCTTTAAGGCAGAAGAGAGACATTCGGTGGATCTGGGTGCTATTGGCTCGTTGCACTCACATTGTTTCAGTGGCAGAGGACGAGGTACTTTTCTTCCTGAAGCGAGGTCTAAGAATCCTAGGCGGTGCCTGCAGAACAGCAAAAGAAAACTTCAGCGGTGTAATAGGAATGGTTTTTTCTTTCCTTAAAACTCACCCATCTCTGTGGCACCTCTGTGGCGATGATCCTGTTCCAGAGCTCTTGCCTGGGAGTCAGGCCAGACACAATCCACTGAAATTATTTTAGAAGCCAACTGCTGCAATTCTGCCTTGCAGTCAGCTGATGCAGAGCTTTAAAAAGGAGCCCGGAACGCCCAGAAGGAGCCAGACCAACCCCACGAAATTGGTTTACTGTGCTTAACCCCGTTCCCCAGACTGAGACAGGAATTAGGCTCGCAAACAAAAAAACCCCCAATCTGCAGTGCGTACTTCTCTCAGAAGAGCTTTGGCATGGCATCGTGTCTTGCGAGCTTCACAGTAAGAAACAGTCA